TTATAGGAATCCCATAGGGCCTCTGGCCTCACAGGGAGCTCCTCCGAAGCTTCATTTCGGCACACCCCTCTCGAGGATTGCGGCCCTGGCCTCAGAGGGAGCTCCTCCGAAGCTTCATTTCGGCACACCCTTCTCGAGGATCGTGGCCCTCCCCTCACAGAGGGTTTCTCCGAAGCTTCATGTCGGCACACCCTTCAAGCATGATCGTGGCCCTGGCCCCAGAGGGAGCTCCACCGAAGCCTCATTTCGGCACACCCCTCTCGAGGATCGCGGCCCTGGCCGCACAGGGAGCTCCACCGAAACTTCATTTCGGCACACCCCTCTCGAGGATCGTCGCCCTGGTCCCACAGGGGGCTCCACCGAATCTTCATTTCGGCACACCCCTCTCGAGGACCGTGGCCCTGACCCCACAGGGAGCTCCACCGAAACATCATTTCGGAACACCCTTCTCGAGGACCGTGGCACAGACCCAACAGGGAGGCCCACCGAAACATCATTTCGGCACACCCCTTTCGAGGACCGTGGCACGGACCCCACAGGGAGGCCCACCGAAGCTTCATTTCGGCACCCCCCGCTCGAGGATCGTGGCCCTGGCCCCACAGGGAGCTCTTTTCATCCCCGTGCCGGCCTAGTCTCTAACACGCCTCTGCCGTGCAGGAGGCACGGCGGCGGATTTGACTCCCGTGGCTCTGGTGGCCTTGTGGCTGACGTGGGCACGCTCCTCTCCCTCTCTTCATGTATGGTTCAAGCCATTTGGGCATGCGCCTCCCCCCTCTGGGGCAGGCCACTGAGGGACGCCGGGCAACACGCCGGGACCCATGGGGATTCTATAGCATCCCTTAGGGATTCTGTCGCATCCCTTAGGGATTCTATTGCATCCCTTAGGGATGCTATAGCATCCCTTCGGGATCCAGTGGCAGCCCTCATGATTCTTTAGCATCCCTCAGGGAGTCTATAGCATCTCTCAGGGATTCTATAGCATCCCTCAGGGATTCTATAGCATCCCTTAGGAATTCAATGGCATCCCTTCAAGGATTCTATAACATCCCCTTAAGGATTCTATAGCATCCCCTTAGGGATTCGATAGTCCCTTTCTAAGGATTATATAGCATTCCTCAGGATTTTTATTGCATCCCCTAGGGATTGTATAGCATCCCTTAGGGATTATGTAGCAGCCCTTAGGGATTATATAGCATCCCTTAGGGATTCTATAGCATGCTTTAGGGGTTCTATAGCATCCCTTAGGGGTTCTATAGCATTACTTAGGGGTTATGCAGCCTTCCCTTAGGGATTCCATAGCATCCCTTAAGGATTCTATAGCATGCCCGAAGGTTTCGGCTCGGGGGAGCGCGCATAGTTTCAGCTCGTGGGAATGCGTCGGCTTTCTTAAGGATCTCGAGGGATTCCAGGGGATTTTCCAACGGCTTCCTTTGGTTTCTGTTGCCAGCCATCTGTTGCGTTGCATTGCGTTGCGTTGCGTTGCGTTGCGATGCGATGCGTTGCGTTGCGTTGCGTTGCTGGGGGGGGGGTCCGGGTCCACCAGTGAGATGTTCGCCACAAGGAGCGAAACAGCGACCTGGTGGACCCTCACCGGGCCCACCAGCCGGTTGTTTTGCCTTGTTGTTGTTGTTGTTGAACTCGCACCTCTGAAAAATAATTATTGTTGATCCCCCCACCGGTGCATACTGTTTTTTCTGAATCAAAATGTGCCCCTCGACGCTCGCACCCTGTCTTTTGACAGGGAAAGTCTTGATGCTCAAACTGGGCCCCTGGCCCCCGGGTTACAACAACAACGGCTCTCGCCTGAGACGTCCTCACAATTTAGCCAGGACCCCCGCTCCCGCCTGAGATTTCTCGCATTTTCTTCAGGAATCGCGCTCTCGATTGTGACTTCCTCATAATGTACTCAGGAATTGCTCTCCCGGCGCTCTGGAGTCGCGCTCTCGCTGGAGACTTGCTTGCAATTTACTGAAGGATAGCGCCCTTGCGTTGGAATTTCTTGCAATTTGCTCAAGCTCCGCGTTCCCGACACCCAGGCACCCAGGAGTCGCGCCCGTTGTGGCCCCACGTGCATGCCCTTCGTGGCCCCGCTGTCGCCGTTTGTGGCCCCCTCACTGTCCTACGTGGCCCAGTTGCTACCCTCAGTGGCCCCATCGTTGCATGTTGTGGCCCCTGCATTATCTTCCTTTCGTGGCCCCCGCTCGTTCGCGCGTTCCGTGGCCCCATACGCATTCCCTTCGTGTCCCCGCTGTCGCCCTTCGTGGCCTAATTCGTGTCCTTCGTGGCCCTGCTGTCGTTCTCTCTCGCTCTCGCTTTCGCTCGTCGTCGCCGTCGTCGTCGTCGTCGCCGTCGCCGTCGTCGCCGTCGTCGTCGACGTCGTCGTCGTCATCGTCGTGGTCGGTCCCCTGTCCGTCCCTCTTGGGGTCGGGTCGACGGTCCGCGACCGCCCCGCCGATTAGCGCTGCCGCTGGCCAGGCCGACGGTCCGAGGCCGACCCGCCGCTTGCCTGGGCCTGGCCTGCAGGGAAGAAAGAGGTATACCCCCCACAAGGGTTTCGATCGAAGACGAAGAGGGCGGGTGTCGAGGGTTTGGGAAATTCGCGTTATTGGACATTCGAGCAGATAAGGGCGAACAGTCTTACAATGATTGTTGTTGTTGTTGCTGCTATTGTTTGTTGTCGTCGCCCCACCTGCGACCCACCCCGCGACACACCCGCGACCTACCCCGCGATCCACCCGCGACCCACCCGCGACCCACCCGCGACCCACCCGCGACCCACCCGCGACCCACCCGCGACCCGCCCGCGACCCTCCCGCCGCGACCCAACCGCGACCCACCGTCGACCCACTTGCGACCCAACCCGTGACCCACCCACATTGTTTTCACAAAAAATATGCGCCTGCGGCGGGCTCGTTTTATAGCTTGAAAAATTATGCGCTTGCGGCGGGCTTCTTCAGAGCCTCGCAGACTGCCGACGTACCCGCCGCCCCCTCACTCGTATCAGTAACTGCGGGGTGCTACGGTATTTCTCCTCCTCCTCCTCCTCTACCCTTCTCGTCCTCTCTCTTTTCTCTCTTTGTCCTCCTCCTCCTTGTCCTGTATTCCTCCTTATTCTTCTCCTGCAGTTCCTCCTCCTCCTCCTCCTCACTGGACTCATCTGTTTCCTCCCCCTACCCCTCCTCCTCCTCTTGCCTCGTCCTCCCCTTCCTATTATTCCTCCCCTCTTCCTCCTCTTACCCTCCTTCTCCTCCGCCTCCTCCTCTCTCCTCACTTGTCATCGTTGAGGATCGATCCTGACTAGACACATACTGTGCCCATGCCAAATATCTTCGTGCTCGTCGTTCTCCTCCCGCATCTTCCCCGCAGACCTTCTCGGCCTCGGTGGACCAGACATCGGCCACGCTGCCGGGACAAGCTCGGGGCAGGACTCTTCCGTTCACAGTTGGGGCATCGATCGCGCGGCGCTACGGTGAAAGAGGAATGCTCCTCTTTGCCGTCCTGCGCCGAGCGTCGAACGCAGGCTTCCGCCGGCAGAGCCGTCGAAGCCGCTCATACGCCGGCCTGCTGCAGGGCTCCCCCGCCCCTGGCGAGGGGAGGTCGGCCTCTCGATGCCATATCGCCGGAGGCGAGGCCTCTGCTGGAGTTCCCCGGAAGTGGCAAAAAGGGGGAGGGGGGAGAAAACACATCTTCGCAACTCCTTCGCCCATCCCCCTTCCCCTTCTTCCTCCTCCTCCTCCTCCTCCTCCTCCTCCTCCTCCTCCTCCTCCTCCTAATCATCATCATCATCATCATCATCCTTCTCCTTCTCCTCCTCTTCCTCCTCTTCCTCCTCCTCCTCCTCCTCTACCTCCTCCTCCTCCTCCTCCTCCTCCGCCTCCTCATCTCGCCTCCCCTCGCCTCCTCTCCCCGCGGTCGTTCTCGCCCCCCATTTTGTGCGCGTTGCTATCTCCTTCCCCAGACCTCCGACGAGTCGATTTTGTCAGAGTCGCTGGCCCCTAAAGGGAGCTCCCACCACTTCCCGTGGGACGAGTTTCTCGTCCCAGGCTCTTGTTTGACCGCCCCCAGGGGCCCAGAAACACGCTGTGGAGGCCGAAGAGGACGAACCCCCACCGCACTGCCAAGGCATCGATTCTCCTTCTCCTCATCCGAGGTGATCCAACTTGTGTCATCGAGACGACAGGTTGCAGCCACGCCGGCATGCCGCCCAGCGAGAGCCCGGTGGTCATTCATCAAGCCCGCCGCGAGTTGTGCTGGCTTATGTACTCCTATCTTCTCCTCCATCCTCCATCCCCTCTCATCATCCCTCCCCCCTCCTTCCTCTCCTTCTCCTCCTCCTTGTCCTCCTCCTCCTCCTCAATTCCTTTTGTTGTTGTTGTCTTCTCCCTTCTCCTCCTGCTCCTCCTGCTCCTCCTCCTCCTCCTCTCCCTGCACACATCGCGTCCCGTACCTCTCCAGGGGTGCGATCTGGCGAGATCTTCGAGGGTAATCCAGACGTAGCGACGAGAGGCCCTTTCGGAGGCCCCAGAACGCTTGAAGCATACATGACACCTCTGCCCTCGAAATTTCTTCGCCCCCCCCTCCGCCCCCCTCCCTTTGAGGAATACGCTCGCTGCAGACCCCCTCGTCGAACAACAGAACAATCCTCCACGAGGAGAAGGGGGTTGGGGGAGCCCGCCTCCCCCTCGAGGAGGTGGAGGGCGCGAAGGCAGGTGTCTGACATACACAACTGAGAAGAAGTTCAGAGTCGGGCGTTCTACATGACATTCGGCCTTTGCCATAGAAGCGGGGAGGAGTACTAAGATGAGGCGAAAGGAGCAGAAGAACTTCCTCTTCCTCTTTCTTCCTCCCCTGAGGAGGGGAAGAAGAAGGATGAGGGAGAGGATTGTCCTCGTTCTCCTCCTCCCCCTCTCCCTCCCCATCCGCCTCCTCCCGCCAGTCGATCTCGCGCTCCCGACCCCTTCCTCTCCGAGGGGAAGGCCAACAAAAAGAAGACGCCTCAGGAGCGTGCCGCGAGGCTCGAGCGCGAGCTGGCGGCCGAACGGGCGCGGCATGACGCGGAGTCGCAGGAGCTGCGGGCTGCGGGCTACCAGTAAAGATCCGTGACGAGATCTCAGTCCTGGGACTCGGGATTCGGGTGGTGCTGTTTTTATTAATCGCTTCGCTCATGCCGCCGGCCCTGGAGCCCTCTTTAGGGCCTCTTGGGGGCCTCTTGGGGACCTCTTGGGAGTCTCTTGGGGCTCCTTGGCGGCGTTTTGGAGGCCCCCAGGGCCTCTTGGGGGGCTCTTGGGGGTAGTCGATTGCGGCTCCCCCCTCGGAGGCCACGATCCTCGTGAGGGGTGTCGAAAAATACCCTCCCCTGGAGTGGTCTGGTGGCTTCTCCCGGGCTTCTCTCGGGACCTTGCCGGGGTACTTTTCGTCCGGGGGCCCCCAGGGGCCGCTCCGCGCGCGCGAACTAGAAATATTGTTAACAAGTTACCGGAGATCTTAGCACGCCTCTGGCCCGTTGGGCCGGCGAATTCTTTGGCGCATGCAGGAAGCTTCTTGTCGCAACGGCTCGGTTCCGACCGAATTTTTTGCCAGAACGCTCCCCTGGACAGTTCCTGGGAACGATCTCGGAGGTGGGAATGTCCAGGTATATGCGGACAGTTGCGGGGGGCGGATGAGGAGGAGGATGGAAGGAGGATAATGAGGAGGCGGAGGCTTGGATGAGATTCGGCCTCCTGTGGAGACCAGGCCAAGCCTGGGCACAACCAAAACAACTCACATCTGAGGGAAACCGCCACCGCCCTTGGTAGAAGATCCATTCGAAGTGCGTGAACTCACTTCCTTCCTAGCCTTGGCGGGAGGGTGATATGGTCGGCTCAGTTGCTGGACGTTAGAGGTGGCCTATTTGCCACGCGCCTCACAGAACAGGACGCCTCGATCAATACTCAGCCTGTGTCTCCGATGCACATCAGGGCTGGAGCGGCTGGCGAAGTGGATTGGTGAGGAGCGAGGGAAGCACAGCCCGTACATGGCCCCGGGCAAGAAGACCGAAGAGGCCCCGTCCACTGGAAGTGCCCGTCACAGACCTGGCACCGAGGAGGGAGGGATGAGCAGGAGGAGGAGGAGGAGGCGCAGGAGGAAGGGAGGATGCTGATGATGTTGATGCTGATGACGATGATGATGCTGATGCTGATGCTGAATGATGATGATGATGATGATGATGATGATGATGATGATGATGATGATGATGATGATGATGATGCTGATGCTGATGCTGATGCTGATGCTGATGCTGATGCTGATATTGATGATGATGAGGAGGAGCAGGAGGAGGAGGAAGGGATGGAGGAGAGGTGAAGCAGGGACGAGCAGGGTCGAGGAGGAGGAGGAGGAGCATGAAGGAGGAGGAGGGGGAGGGGGACGGCGCAGAGTCGCAGGAGCTGCGGGCCATCATGGACTCGATGTGGAAGCAGGTGGAGGGGCGGCCGCCCCCTTCGGGGGACGAGAAGCAGCGGATGTTCCAGGCGCCCTCTTCCTCCTCGTCCTCCTCCTTCTCCTCCTCTTCCTCCCCCCTCATTCCTCCCTCTCATTCTCTTCCTCCTCCCTCTCATTCCTCCCTCTCCTCCTCCTCGTCCTCCTCCTTCTCCTCCTCTTCCTCCCCCCTCATTCCTCCCTCTCCTCCTCTTCCTCCCCCCTCTCCTTCTCTTCCTCCTCCTGCACCTCCAGTCATTTACCTCATAGATAGCTTCTCCCTGTCGCACCCCGAGGCAGGTCGAAAGGGCGGGCCGGGCGTTCCGCCTGAGACTTCCCCACCACTGACGACCTTGAAGCTTAGGAGCTGGCAGCGGCTTCACAGATGGAGGGCGGGTCGCTTCCAAAATGTAGCTCTCGCCTTATTGTCGCTCACATGCGCTCTCAACGTGTACAAGAGAAGAGCTTCACGGATTGAGGGCGGGTCGTTTTCAAAATGTGGCTCTCGCCTTGGCACCGTTCACGTGCTCTTGAAACATTTGCAAAAGCTTCACGGAGTGCGGGCGGGTGTTATTCAACATGTAGTTCTCGCCTTAGCGCCGCGCACATTCGATTTAAACATTTGCAAGAGCTTCACGGATTGAGGGCGGGTCGTTTTCAAAATGTGGCTCTCGCTTTGGCACCGTTCACATGCTCTTTAAACATGAGTGTGGGCGGGTGGTTTTCAAACTGTGGTTCTCGCCTTAGCGCCGCGCACATTCGATCTAAACATTCGCAAGAGCTTCACGGATTGAGGGCTGGTGTTTTTCAGAATATGGTTTTCGCTTTCGCGCCGCGCACGCCTGTTTTAAATAATTGCAAGACCCTCGCGGATTACAGGCGGATCCTTTTCAAAAATGTGGTTCTCGCCCTGTGGTCGCGCACACTCGTTTTAAACAGTTGCAAACCGTTTAAGGATTCCCACGGTTAACCTGCCAAAAACGTTGTGTTGGAATGAACTCAGGATTGTGAGGGCGCAGTTCCGCGGTGGTGATGTTCTGGCGCGATTCCGGATCGTCAAGACGCAGTTTTCATGATGATTCGTGGCGTTGGAGTCCCCAAAACTGCGTTATGGAACGTTTAGGGGTCTGTGAACGGTTGTCTCCCAACGGGCCCAAAGAGGCAGTTCCTTCTGTGGAAATGAATCCGTGTAGGGGCCTGTGAGGAGGGAAGTTGCAGGGATGGTTTATTCCGACATCGTTAATGGGTCTTGGGTTTCCATTGGTCCTCTTCCTCCTCATCCTCACCCCCTCCTCCTCCTCCTCCTCCTCCTTCTTCCACCTCCCCCTCCCCCTCCTCCTCCTCCTCCTCCTCTTCCTCCTCTCCCTCTCAAGCCTTGTGCGGCCCGAGTTTTTTTGTTGGAAGAGGCCCGGCGACCGCACGGAACTTGCGCGTACCGAATGCGGGCGTGCCCAGGCGCCCGCTACGTGCTCCCGCAACCTGATGGGGCGCCTCAGAGGCGGCGAAAGTTGAGTGTCGAACAGAGTCCAGCATATTGGTGGGACGCAGCGGTAATGAGAGGGCGAGAAGCAGAGACGGTCCGAGGCCACCCTCCACTCCTCCATTCACGGGAAACGTCGTCAAGCGTCTCTTGTGTGTCGCAATTGGCTGGGTGGTTCATGGGCTAATTGCAGTCATGGAGAAGCTCCAGAGTGGGAATCATGACGAGTACGCAGTGCCCTCTGGCCTAAGCAGCCCAACAAGAACGAAACCACTTCCGCTCTGGAAAACGAGGGTGAATCCGCCAGCAGTCCACTACTCGAGCAGCTGTTGCCTAAGTACAAGGCTGCCAAGACGGCCACTGAGGAGGTTGCCATCAGGGCGATGGAACTGGTCTGCCCCGTGCTGGCAAGTGCAGTGAAACCCCCTCCTCCGAATGCTCCTGAGGTCCTTGTTGAGCAGCATGCAGCCAGTCTGCGACGACTTCAGTGCCAGCAGGGGACGATCAAGAACCAGGCCATTGCCACCGCCAAGACGGGGAAGGAGCTCCTGGCCAGACTTGAAAAGAACGTCCGCGCCCGCGCGGAGGCGCAGGCTGAGGTCAATCGTCTCGCGTGTCCCACTTCTGCTGCCAAGTGCGCGATCACAGCCCGCCGTGGCGACGAGGCCAAGGAAGCTGTCGACGACGCCTTCCCCGCGCTCGGCCCCGAGGACATCGAATTCCCCGCGCCCGAGCAGAAGGCGGCCTGCGGAGCGGCCTTGGCACATGCGAGGAAGGCGAAGGAAGTGTATACTAATGCGAAGGACATCGGCAAGCAGGCGCAGGACGCGGCCAATGCCCTTCGAGAGCTACGGGGGGCGGCTACTTCGGCGAAGATGCGCAAGGCGGACGGTGCAGCAGGCGTCGCAGCAGGGGCCCCGTCAGAAGCAGCAGATGGAGGGGGACCGCGCCAGTCCGAGGTTGCCGCCCCGACTGATTTCACCGACCCGAAGAACGTCGACGCGCGCATCCAGCGCGCGGCGGCCCTCGAGGCGAGGGCGGTCGCGCGGAGTCGGCCAGGGCGGGGTCGGGCAGCTCAGGGGGGGGGGCTGCCCAGAACGGTGGCGCGGCCGCGGCGGCCAACCCGAAGTGCGGGTAGCTCGCCCCCTGGACAAGTGGCCCTACGCAGATTGGCCACCCCTTGGCCAGCGCGAGAATACCTCGACCTTCTCCGGGTGCGTCGCGAGCTGGAGCCCCGAGGCCATGAAATTCGCGGAGGCGGCCCCGTGCGATCTCATGGGCATGGCCAAACATCATTTGCCTCGAGCGTTGTGTCAGCGAGAAGACAGCGCGAGAATGCCTCGACATTCTCCGGGGGGGGTCGCGAGCTGGAGCCCCGAGGCCATGAATTTCGCGGAGGCGGCGCCGTGCGATCTCATGGGCATGGCCGAACATCATTTGCCTCAAGTGGTGTGCCAGCGAGAAACACGGCGTCTTCGCAATTGCGGGCGGAGGTCAGAAGCGACCCGGGCGGCGGCCACGGCGGCGGAAAGATCCGACATGGGCGCGCGCGGGAGAACGTGCTGGCCCAGGCGGGCGACCTACGCTACCAGCGCCAGCCTTGCAGGAGCGCCCGGCAAGCTTGTCTACCGCGATGCGATGCGTGATGTGTCGGTGGTCCTCTGGCGCCTCCATGGCGTCACTTATGCTTCCATCTCGTGTCATCTAGATTCTTCGATTGGCTTGGTGGGCGCCAACTCCCAGAAGATGCCCCGCCGCCGCCCGCGTCGTCAAGTCGCTGGGAGTGTCCTGACTGCTGGTGGGAGACTTCAATGCCGCGCCCGCTGAGATGGCGAGGCAGGGCTGGTTGGAAGCCCCCAGCGCCCGAGTGGTGACGCCAGAGGGAGTGGGGATTTCGCGCGCGTCGGACAAAGGCCGCATGATTGCCTGCGCGGTGGTGCCCGACAGTTTCCGCCCCTTTGTGTCTCGGGCGCTGCCAGTCCAGAACCTCCCGCGCGGCCCTCGCATTGGCTCCAGCATCCTGGTCAAGTCACGTCCAGCGTCGGCGTTCCTCCGAGCGCCTGTGCTACCAGTGGCCCTGAAGATCCCCGCAGGCGAAGCGCGCGCGCCCCAGGGTGTGAAACGTTGCCAGAGAGACAGGGAGACGCGCGTTAAGATCCAGGAGGCGCGCAAAGAGCTGGACGCGCTGCTGAACGGCGACCCCCTCAACGACGACGACGACCTTTTGGGCGACTACCACCTCGCAAAATAGTCCAATTGGTGCGGGAACCAGGAGTGGATTCAGTTCGTTGAGGAGGCGCATGAGAACGTCGGGCGTTGCTTCCCCCGGGGCACGCCCGACGCGAAGAAGAGCGAGGCTCACCGAGTCGCCCCGCGCATTTCCGAGACCCTGGCCAAGCAGCGCGCTATCTGGGCTCGGGCGGCTGAGGCGCAGTTGGCGGCGCCGCGCGCTACGTGGTGCTGAGCCTCGTCTGAGCGCGCGGCGCGGCATGCCGTCGAGATGCTAGTGGAGGCGCGCGTTTGATCAGGTGTCCGCCTCCAATGTCGGCCACTCGCGCGTCGGTGCCCTCAGCGGCAAGTGGGCGAGCCTCCACGCCTGGGCCCAAGAGCAGTCGGTGGCACTTGGCCGACTTCGTCGCACGAGCTACCAGCAGCGCGCCCAGCAGATCGCGGCAGATTTGCTGACCGAGCCCCGACAACAACATCACGCGCGAGGCCCAGTTCCCGAGGGCCATAAAGAGGACACGACGGGCGCATGGCGGGCACATAGAGGCGACCAGAACGTGTTGCAGCAAGGGGAGAGGATTCGCCATTGCACGGACTTCGCGCCCTGGCAGAACTACGCGCTGAAGTGTCAGGCGCGTCCTATCCGTCATGCGAACCTGGCCTGGCAGCAGACCCGCAGCGAGATCGGCGGCTGGGCGGTCAAGTACGCGCGCGGTTTCATGAAGGGTGCCCACCGCTAGTTGAAGAAGAAGAAGAACGGGCAGCGCGCCCTCGACGAGACCTGCATCGACCCCGCCATCAGCGAGGTGTGCGACGCGGTCCAGGGCACCGCCGACGCTTGGGCGGCTTGTTGGGCAGCGGGGTAGACGCCCCGGCCACGCCGCCAGCCAGCAGTCCGCGCAGCCCTCGGTGATATTGGGACCCCTGCCCTTGAGGACCACCTTGAGGAGCGGCCTTGCCATGATCGGGAGCAGCTGGTGGCAGCACTCAGGTCGTTTCCCGAATGCACGGGCAAGGGGCCAGATCAGTGGAAGCCGACCCACATCCTGGCGCTGCCGGATCAGGTGCAGGAGGCAGTCGTCACGGTGCTGAAAATGATCGAGCGCGGCCTTGCGTGGCCAAGCCAGCTGCCGCGCAGCTGCTTTGCGCTGCTGCCCAAGGGGGACAAGCGGGAGTTGGGTTGCGCGAGGGGCGTCGGCGCCCCACCCACGCCCATGAGGACATGGGGGCGCGCGACGAAGACCCCGATGGCGGAGTGGCGCGACATGCGCGCAGCCCATTTGGACGCCGCGGTCAGAGGCAGCCGCGCCCGCCAGGCTGCCTTGCCCACCGCGGTCCTAGACGAGGCGCGGGCGCGCGTCGGCCTCGACGGGCAGGGCGACTTCCTGGCAGGCGTCGAGAAGTTCCACGGTTTCATGGACCTGGCGCCGATGATCGACCAGGCCATCAAGCTCAACTTCCCGTCTGTGGAGCTGCACCTCTGCTGCCTCGCCTATCTGGCGCCCCGCGCGGTCGAGGCGCAGGGGTCGCGTGCAGAGGCCATCGCCCCGAATTGCTCGACTGTGCCTGGCCGCGGCAAAGCCAGTCATTGTGCGAGAGTTTTTCTATGCAGGTTGTTGGGGAGAGCCCGTGAGCGGGCTCTCTAGGCGAGAGCCAGGCAGCGCGTCGACGACGCTCACCCCCAGGCGTGGGGGGGGGTCCAGGCAAGCTGGTGCTGAAGCAAACCGAGCGACTTGCGTGCGAGTTGGTGCGAGGCATGCTAGACATGGGCCAACGCATCTCTAATGTCGCAGCTGAGGTTACGGCGACCCCCACGGGTGAGGCGAAGATCCAGTGGCGCGTCCTTCAGTCCGCTGGCGTCAATATCAAGAAGACCAGCTGGGCCAAAGACCCCGGGGTGGACTGCCCCATGGGCCTCGAGACGGCGAGCAAGACATCTATATGCATAATGGCCTTGGCGCGGGCATGGGCTACCCGCGCGGCGCTGTTCAGGCGCGTGGGACGCGGGGGCAAGGCCCAGAGGCACCATGCTGCACAACGCTAACATGAAGGCGAAGTTCAAGTGCGCGGATCCTGTGCTGGGCGTGCCGCCGTCTGAGATGGCGCGCAGGCGTGCCCAGGCTGCGGGCCTGGCTGAGCACGCAGTCGGCGGCAGGTGCGCCGCCTCAGCCATGCTGCTGCACTACCAGGACGACGACCCCAACATGGGCGTGGCCATGGACCAGGTCAAGCAGTGGTTCCAGTCCTGGGAGGAGCACCCTGATCTACGAGAGCGTGTCCGAGGTGGTTGGCGAGCGGTGCTGAAGCGGCTCATCTACCTGCGGCCGCGCTAACGATGGAGGTGCGTGACGGGGCCGATGGGAGCGCCCATCCTCATGCTGCGCGAGTTGGGCAGGGGTCAGATGGGGGTCAGCACGCCGAAATACAAAGCGGACCTTCCCATGCACCCGGTCGGCTGGAGACGACATGCTGGTGGTCGTTGGAACGCCGCGCTCCACGTGCTGCCAAATAAATTCCAATGCGGCCGAGCACGGCCATCGGGGAAACAAACTTGAAAGTGGGGCAGCACGTGCACTTGGGACGCCCGTGGCAAAAGGCAAACGCCTGAGCCCCAAGTGGCTCTCCTCCTCCTCCTCCTCCTCCTCCTCCTCCTCCTCCTCCTCCTCCTCCCCCTCCTCCCCCTCCTCCCCCTCCTCCTCCTCCTCCCCATTCTCCTCCTCCGCATCCCCCATCCACCCCCATCCCCCTCGTCCTCCTCCTCTCTCATCCCCCTTTGCCTCATCGTCAGTATTCCCCTTCTCTTTTTCCTCCTTCCCCGCGAGGACTCGTCCGGGAACATGCGGGAGTTCACGGGCGACGCCGAGGACGTCTTCACCCTTTACGACTTGGCACGCGGGCAAAGCAATTAGCCCCCTCGACCCACCCAAGGGGAGGGAAGGACGAGGAGGATAATGTTGATAAGGGGGAGGGGGAGGGGTGGAGGGACAGGAAGAGGAGGAGCAGGATGAGGAGGAACAGGAGCAGGAGGAGGAGGAGGAGGAGGAGGAGGAGGAAGAGGAGGAGGAGAAGGAAACTCTTCATTTCAACCACCTCCTCCCCTTCCTCGCCCGCCTCCGCCTCCTTGACCTGCTGCTGCTGCTGATGCTGCTGGTGCTCCTCCTCCTCCTGCTCCTCCTCCTCCTTCTCCCTGACCGGGGGGGGGCTCTCCGTTGTGGGCGGGTTGCGAAACCCACTGGCCCTTGCGGCGCACCACGGGGCCCACTGTTATTTCCTCCTCCTCCTCCTCCTCCTCCTCCTCCTCCTCCTCTTTCTCCTCTCCTCCTCCTCCTCCTCCTCCTCCTCCTCCTCCTCCTCCTCCTCCTCCTCCTCCTAGGGGCAGGAGGCAGGAGGGCCCGGGTTCGAGGATCGAGGATCGAGGAAGGAACACGATCCGGGGGGAATGTCGACCTTGAGGATCGACGACGCGTTTCCCGCCATGTTTTGGGGGCCTCTCGGAGGTTCTGGTTCGCCACGGATGGATTTCTCCTAATGTCCTGCTCCTTCTGCATATTTCTTCGCCTCCCCCGTTCTCCTACTCCTTTTCCTCCTTCCCCCCATCCCCTCCCCCCCACCCTACTCCCTGCCCTTTTCCTTTCCCCACCCCTCTCGCCTCCTCCTCCTTCTTCTCTTTCTTCTTCTTTTCACTGATTATTATTCTGCGAATTCTTATTATATAATCAGATCCTTGTTATGTATACGACTGCTATTGGTATTGTTGGTGTTGTTGGTGGTGGTGATGTTGGTTGTGGTGTTGGTGTTGGTGTTGGTGTTGGTGTTGGTGTTGGTGTTGGTGTTGGTGTTGGTGTTGGTGTTGGTGTTGGTGTTGGTGTTGGTGTTTGTTTGTTGTTGATGGTGGTGTTGTTGTTGGTGGTGGTGGTGGTGTTCTGCTTAGTCTTAGTAGTATGTGTCTTCTTCGTTCCTCATCCCCTTCTCCTTCTCCGCCTCACCTCTTCCCCCTCACATTTGCTACTGTATCCCTCTGTGCCTTCTACCCTGATCCTCACAACATTCCGAGCCATCCTGTGGCAGGCGTCTGCCATGCCACGGAGGCGCCGAACACATTGAACAACCGCATTCTTCCTCCCGCGAGCATGAGGTTTGGTTTAGCGTGCACTTCCCCCAGGGGCGACAACGTCCCACTCTCTGCCCCCCGTGCACGCTATATGCTTCCCTCGCATCCCGGCCCCCACTCTTCAAACCGGACACGGACGTGTACGATACAAGATTGCTGTTGGAAACGGACGTGCAACGCTTCTACGTTGGGGATGCTTTATTCTGCCACTTTGATGGGCATGCCTGTACAGCGCCCATGTGCACTCGATACGCTTCCTCCGAGGGGCATGCGCGCGTAGCGATCCTCAATCGTCGATCCTCGATCCTTCACCTCCATCATTCCCCTTCCACTCCTTACGAGCATCTTCGGAGCCTCCCAGGAGCCTCGGAAGTCTCCCGAGTGCCTCCCAGGAGCCTCCCAGGAGCTTCTGTCCGAAGCCTCCCAGGAGCGTATCAGGAGCGTCTCACGAGCCTGCTTTTCAGGAGCCTCTCGGGAGCTTTTTGTCAGAAGCTGCTCAGGAACCTTTCAGTAGAGAGAGGCGGTACACTATGCGGTGGCACCATCACCTCGGTCCTCAATCTTGGATACTCCTCCTCTTACGCTCGGCAAGCGTAAGCGTCTGGCCTGGAGCGCTCGCACGGTGGAGCAAACTAATCAGCGCAGTGATGGACACATTGACGCGCGAAGTCGACCGCAGCCCCGCGTGGTGTAGGAGGGACAGCGAGTACTGGAGAAGCAGAGTGCCGAGCACGGGCGCAGAGTAGCGGCGCCTGCCGCCGCGGTGGAACGGGGGAGAGCTCCTCGAAGCCATCTTCTCCTCCTCCTCCTCCTCCTCCTCCCCCTCCTCCTCCTCCTCCTCCTCCTCCTCCTCCTCCTCCTCCTCCTCCTCCTCCTCCTCCTCCTCCTCCTCCCCCTCCCCCTCCTCCTCCTACTCCTCCTCGTCCCGACCTCTCCTTCCACGCCCCCCTACCCTTGTCTGCCCTCGGGCCTTGGCACAGCGGGCCACCAGGGGGGACAGCGCGCTCAGGGCACAGGAACACTCTGTACTGTCGCCCTGAAGCCTCGATCCCCATCCTGGATCCCTCCCCTCCCTCCTTCCCCCTCCCCGCCCCACACGAGCTTCTCAGGATCCTGCCAGCAGCTTTGCAGGAACCTCCCAGGAATTCCTCAGGAGCAGTCCAGGAACCTCTCATGAGAGAGGCGCTACGCTGTATACGATGGCCCCCAAACCTCGGTCCCCGATCTTCGATGCTCCTCCTCCTCCTCCTCCTCCTCCTCCTCCTCCTCCTCCTCCTCCTCCTCCTCCTCCCGACCTCTCCTTCCCCGTTCCCTACTCCCTCCACCCCCTCCCCCGCCCTGCGGCCCTGGCCTCCTCACCCCCCCCCGCGGCATCGACCCTCCCCCCCCCCCGCCCTGGGCCCCTGGCCCCTTGGGCCGCCTGGCGGAGGAGCACGCGAAACACGATCCCCCGAGGACTCCCAAACGCACTCCTCGCAGTGTACTCGCAATCGAGCCTCACGTCCGAGACGTCCTCACATTTTGCTCATGGGAAGGGCCCCCCCAGTCGACACTCTTCGAGAGTTTACTCGAGAATGGAGCCGTCGCTCGAGGCACCCTCAGAATTTGCTCATGGATGAGGCTCCCGCAATTCAGGCAGCTGCTGTCCTCTCTTCACTCATTCCTTCGTTCCCTTTCCTCCTCCTCATCATCCTCCTCATGGTCCTCTTCCTCCTCATCGCTCGCCCTCCCCCATTCCCCTCCTCCCGGCTCGGGTGTAGTGCACGCACGCAGTACGTACGGTTTTGCAGCCCATTGTAGGCAAAGTGTGCGGAGAGGAGACTCGTGGGAGGCTCCTGGGGGGCTGAATGAGCAGCTCCTGAGAGGTTCCTGAAAGGTTCCTATGGGCTCCTCGGAGGTTCCTGAAGCTCCCTGGAAAGGTTAGCACGGGAAGGGACGGGGGGAATGACAAGAGGGGATGACAGAGGATGATCGTGTCTGAAACAGACATTTTGAACAGCCGAAGTGCTAACGAAACGCCTCTCCTGAGAAAGCAACCGACCGCGTACAGAGAACACATTGCTTCGACGTGCACTCTGTACACCCGGACGTATAGAGTGCACTCCACAGTCCTGACGTACACTCTAAGCCAAACCTCCTGCTCATACCTCCTCCGTCCTCCCTGCTCTCCCACCCTCCGTCTCCGAGCTCCTCTCCTTATCGCCCTGCTGCCTCTCCCTCCTGCTCCTTTCTCTTCATCTCTTACCCCTTCCCCCCCACTCCCCCTCTTCCCCACCCACCCCTCCCTCCCCCTTCTCTTCCCTCTCGCTATTCACAGCTGCTCATATTCTCAACTTCTCCTGGATCCGGTCCGGGCGGGTTTCGCTTCCTCCTGGAAGTGAATATTTCACGTAGAGGAATTGAGACGCTGACTGATTTTTATATGTTTTCCCATCTGATCGCTTCCGATGTTTCAAAGCTGCGCCCCTCTGCAATGCAGCGCGGGCCACAATTCTGGACCCGCGTCCTTCACCGTCGTTGTCGCCCCGCTCCTTTCACCTCTGCCTTCCACTGGTTCTCCGGTTCCTCCCGCTCCTCCTACTCCTGTTCTTGCGTCTGCTTCTGTTCGTTTACGTCCTCCTTTCGCATCACCATCTTCTTCCTTCTGCTCATCCTCTTGCCCATCTGTTACCTCCTCCTCCACTTCCTCCTCCAATGCACACCGTTTCCCTTTTCTGATTGCGCATACCGCTATAGGGCTCCTTTTGAGGGTTCCAGGTCCGCTACGGCACCCGCATGCGGATAGAGGCAAGATCAGCACGACAGGAGAGGATGAGTGGGATTTGTCGGATGTCACACATGGCGTGAGCACGCCTGGCTTGCCTACCCCCCCCCCGTGCTCCCTCCCCCTCCCTTCCCTGGAGGGCCCCTCCTGGGCCCACCCCGGAAACCGGAACGTATACGTTGCCAGTGGCGGGCTGTTCTTGAATCCCCGATTTTTTCGGAGGGTCGGGGACGACGTCGGGGTGGTGTGGGGTACACCTGTTTCCCCGTTCTCTGGGCGAAGCAACTGAAGACGTATGCACCAGGGTCCCGTCTACACCAGGATCCGCTCTCCAGTGCAAAGTTCAGTCCAGGGCCGGAAAAAGCGGCATATATATATATATATATATATATATATATATATATAATAGAGTTCGGTTCCTTACCGCCCCCCCGCCCCCGAGGTGCGGGAGGCCATCGGGGACCACTCGCGCCTCTCCGACGAGCTGGCCCAGGAGCCCAGAGCAGGGCACGGGCACGCCTCCGCGCTCCTCCCCCCCCCCTCTCGGAGCTCGAGGGGTCGCCCGCTCATGGGGGCGATCGCTCTCGCGGGGCGCTGCCTCGGAGCCTCAGTTGGCCGTGGAGTCGACAGGGCAGTTTTTTAATATATGAGAGAGCGTGATCCACCGCCGCTTCACTATGGAAAATTGCCGCACTTTTCCTCCGGAACCCGGGGGTCCCCCCCCCCCCTCCGAAAATCCCCCCCCCCCCCCCCTGCTGGAACCCCTCCCCCCCCCCTCCCCCTGGCAAACCCCCCCCCCTCCCCTAACCCCCCCCCCCCTCTCGAACTCGAAAACCGGGGGGGGTCACTACCGGTTCGAACCCCCCCCCCCCTCGAAAACCGGACGGGGGGGTCACTACCGGTTCGAACCCCTCCCCACCTCCCCCTCTCACCGCCAGCAAACGACTCCCGGTCTCTACCACCGTCCTTGTCCTCACCACATCCCCCACTGTTGTTCCCAGCACCACTGTCCCCACCACCAGTGTCCCCACTGGTTCCACCACCGCTCCACTGTCCCCACCAGTGCCACCACCACTGTCGCACTGTCCCCACAGTCCCCACCACTGTTCCCACCACGGTTCCACTCTCCCAACTTTCTTCACGGCCCCAACCATTGCCCGACTATCCCCACTGTCCCCACTGTCCCACTGACTCCTCCGCTGTGCCACTGAGCTGTCCCACTGTTCCCACCACTGTCCCCACTGTCCCCACCACTGTCCCCACTGTACCTCTGTCCCACCCATTGTCCCACCGCCGTCCTCGCCACCGCCTTCACCACTGTCCCCACCACCACTGTACCCTCCATTGTCCTACTGTTTCCACCACATTCCCACTGTCCCCACACCACTGTCCGACTGTCCCCACCACCACCGTCCCCACCACTGTCCCACTGTCCCCACTGTTCCCACCATTGTCCCCACCATTGTCCCCACCACTACCGTCCCCACCACTGTCCCACTGTCCCCGCCACTGTCCCGCTGTCCCCTCACCACTGTCCCCACCACCACCGTTCCCACCACTGTCCGCACCCCCCCTCGGTTTTCGAGAGGGGGGGGGGGTTCGAACCGGTAGTGACCCCCCCCCGGTTTTCGAGTTCGAGGGGGGGGGGGTTCGAACCGGTAGTGACCCCCCTTCCTTTTCATGATGAACTGGGGGGGGGGGAGGGGTTCGAATCGGTAGTGACCCCCCCCCGTTTTCCGGAGGGGCGGGGGGAGGGGTTCGAGCCGGTAGTGACCCCCCCGGGTTTTCCGCCAGCAGCGGTAGAACACGCTCTTATAAACAGCTGTTTTCGCATTCCGATGTTTACCACTTCTGGCGCCGTGTTTGGGGGGCGTTTCCGGCGCCGTTGCTTTACCGTTTTCGTTTCCCCTGGTGGGCGCCTCGTCTAGAGCATCGTGTTGTCGTTTGCTATATGAGAAAAATACAGATCCGAACCGTCTCCGGAACGGACCCGAACGTCTCTCGGATCCCCAGATTGCCCAGGCCGTTTCGGTGCTAAGCTTTTTGGTCCGTTTCGGCGCACTGCTGGTCTGCAAGCTTTTTGTTGCTGGAGGCGAGCTCTTGAAAACTGTGGAAAAGGCTCTGCTGCTTCCAGGGTCCACGAAGCTCGGAGCCTCCCTCTTCTCTCGTTGGCCGCGCGCGCCTCGTGGCCTCGCCCTCGGAGGCCCCACGCGTTAGCGCGCCCTTGCACGTGCCAGGTGACGGGTCAGGTCTCCCTCCGCGATGGAGCACGAGGAGGAGCTTCTCGTATTGTGATTGCTCCTCCTCCTCTTCCTCTCCTCCTTCTCCTCCTCCTCATCTTCCTCCTCCTCCTTACCCTCCTCCTCCTCCTCGTCCTCCTCCTTGCCGTCAGGCCGAGGCAATTTTCAAATGCCTCGCCACCGCGGATAAGCGGTGCTGCCTGGGCTCCGTGTGGCACCGCCTGAATGCGGTGTGGGTCCGATGATGTCAGATCCTTATCCCGCCCGCGTTCCGGGTGCGATAAGGATAGGGCGGAGGGCGGCACCTCCCGCTGGGAGGTTCGTGGTCGTTCGTTGTCGTCCTTCGTGTCTCGTTTCGTCGTCATGTCCGTCGCCCTTTTCCTTTTTGGGAGTTGCGGCACGGCCCTGGATTAGGTTCCAGGGTGGACGTTGTTTGCGCTCCTGGGCCGGAGAGTGGCCCCCTCCCCCTCCCCCTCCTGCTGCCGCTGCTGTTGCCGTTGCAGCTGTCAGGCCAGGGCTTTTAGTGCCCTGCCACCTCGGCCAAGAGGTGCGGCCTGGGCGCGGGAAGACCCCAGTGGCACCTCCTGGTCTGAGGTGTACCGCCGTTTGACGACCACGGAGGCGGGGCCCGCGGCTTTCCGCCTGTAACCTCTTGGTTGCAGTGCTCTTTGCCGCGGGCACACTGTTGCCGTGCTTGTGAGGGTGCGGGCGCTGGGCAACGCTCCGTGTATTGTCCCTTGGGCGCCGATCCCGAACCCCCGTGCGCCATTTTGGCGCGGGGTGTAGGGCGGTCCTTGGTTTGCTTTCTTTTCCTTGATTTCCTCCCTAAGGCACAGCGTTTCTGGCGCTATTGGGAGTTAGTCAAGGAAAGGAGGCCGGAGGTCAGGTCCCAGCTTGTGTCCGTGATCCCCTCTTTTTGCGCGTGTGCCCTTGGTGTTGGCCGTTGGCCACTTTGGCCGTTGGCCAGGGCACGTTGGCCCGCGCTTTGCTGAGCGCCACGGTTTTGTTCTGCCTTTTGGGCCTGCAACATCGTCCTCCTCCTTCTCCTCCTCGTCCTCCTCCTCCGTGTTTTCTTCATCATGTTGCAAGGTGCAGGGCTCAAGCGCTGCGGAGTGCCACGGCTCGCGAGCTAATCCGTGCTGGCCAGGTCACGTGACCTCTCCCAAGGCGCGTCGTTCCTCCTCTGTTGCCCCGGCTACGGTGCACCGCGGCCGTAGCGTCAGTGTGAAGGAGCACGGGGTGAGGTGCAGCATGCAGCACGCAATGCCAGAGACCGTTTCTATAATGAGTGTACATACAGAGCAAGGAACAGTTTGTCGTTCTCCGCTTCCCCGGCTCTAGAGGTTGAATGAGTCAGTTGGTTGAACGTATGTTCTTGTTTAGGCGGTGTTGCTTCAAGAGGCGTTTGAAGACGATTGGAGAACTCCAGAAACGTCTGGTGGCCGCCATCGAAAAAATGGGGGAGGCCGTTCACGCATGATCCGTGTTCCGTTCTCCCGCCTCCCGTGTCAATCTTTCACCCTCCACTCCCATCTTCCTCCAATTGTCGTTGTCAATACTGAACAAACAGGCCGTCGTCGTCCATGTTCGATCTTCCAACGTGAATTCCCAGTCTTCCAGATTGTGCCATTTATCTTCCCCCTCCGCCCTTCATCATCCGTCTTCCACCAGTTATTCTCAAGTTTCAGTAATGCTCCTCCTCCTTGTCCATTTTTCATATGTCATGAATAACTCTTCGCTGTCGCACCGCGGGGCCAGTCGGAAGGGCGGGCCGGGCGTTTCGCCGGATAATTTTCACCGTGTCAATCATTCGACTCGTTTGAGATATGTGTTTCTTTTTTGCGAGCGATGACGGGTCGTTTTCAAAATGCGGTGTTCGCTGTATTGCCGCGCAATCGTTAAACATTGTAAGAGCTTCACGGATGGAGGGCGGTTCGTTTTGAAATTGTGGTCGTTGCCCTGGCGCCTCGCACACTCGCTATGCAAATTCGCAACAATTTCACTAATGGAGGGCGGTTCCTGTTTCAACATATGGCTCGAGTTCGCGCAGTGCTAAAGACTCTGATGGTTAATGTCCCAGGGCATTATGTTTGGGCACGATGTCGGACTGTCAGGACGCAACAGTTACAATGACTCGTGGTGCCGACGTCCCAGAAATTGTTTTCTGGCACGAGTCAGGAACTTCAAGACGCAGCATTTACGGTAATTCGCGGCGCTGAAGTCCCAGGAACGGTGTTTTGGCACAGTTCGGGCTTATAAACCGTTGTCTTCCAACGGGGCATTTCCTCCAGGGAAGATGAAGCCCTGTATGGGGCCTATGCTGAGGAAGCTTGAATGGAGGTTTTTTTTTGCAACATCGCTGATTCGTCTTAGGTTGACACTGGTTCCCGTTCTCCTCCTCGTCCTTCTCCCCCCCGCCCTCGGGAATGCCAGGGCGGGGGCAGAAACCAGACAAGCCTCAGGAGCGAGAGCAGCGCGAGAAGATCGCCGAGGAGAGCCGCCAGGCCCTCCAGAACCGTGGTCGGCAGGCCACCCCGAGAGGCCCAGGGGGGGGGGGGGCTCAGGACTCCTCCTCCTCCCCCTCCTCCTCCTCCTCCTCCTCCTCCTCCTCCTCCTCCTCCGCCTCCTCCTCCTCCTCCTCCTCCTCCTCCGCCTCCTCCGCCTCCTCCTCCTCCTCCTCCTCCTCCTCCTCCGCCGCACGGGCCCCAGCGGAAGCCGGGAGGCGCGGCCAGAACAGGGGCGGGGACGGCCCCCCCCTGACGAACCCGTGGCATCCGCCCCGTGCCCACCCTTCGCCGCTCGGCTCGGGGGCCCATGCACTCTTTTGTTGCACGCCTTTTTGCACGTGTGGGGCCTCGCCGGTCTGCTCACTGAGCTCGGTGCTTTTCCTTGCACGCCTTTCCTCTGTGAGAACATGTGGTTGATTGCGTCCTGGCCCGGGGCCGCCGTCGCCGTGGCCGCTCACCTGGCGTGCCCCACCCCCCCATCCCCCTTTTCTGGAGCTGTGGGCCCCAGTTCCTTTCAGACAGTGTCTGCGGGGGCCTCACCACCCGAGGGGTCTCCAGCGCCTCCCGAGGAATAGGTTTTTTGTTGCTGTAATTTGTCATCTGCGTTTGATACATACACATGTGTAATCTGCCATATACGTTTATACCTATACAACCGCCCTTCGGGTGATCAGAAAGTTATGGTGGGGGGTCAACCACCTGAAGACAAGTGCGATGATTATAATGGTGTCAACTGCTGACGATGCGCTCGCGATCTGGTGATGCCATCCCGAAGTCGATCCCACTACCCATCGATCGATCTCACGATCGATCGGATCACCAGCCAACGACCTCGCTACTGATTTATCTGCCGATGTCATGGGACACTCATCGAGACAACCATCGGGATTACATCTGGACACCATCTTGGCACTAGCGGGGCACCATGGGGACACCATCCGGACACCTTCTTGACACCATCTTGACAGTTCATCCTGCCACATCCTCTTCCTCATTCTGCATGGTCCTCCTCCTCCTCCTCCTCCTCCTCGTCTCCCTCATCCTCCTTATGATGCTTCCTCATGGTTCCTCCTCCTCCCCATCCCCCTTGTTCCCCTTACCTTATCGTTCTGCTGCGTCCTCCTCCTCCTTCCTGCATCCTCATGTCTCCTCCCTATGCCTCCTCACGCCTATTGATCCTCATGCCCCAGCCTCCTCCTTCTTCCCTCCTCCTCCTCGTACCCCCCCTTATCATTCTCCTCCTCCTCCTCCTCCTCCTCCTCCCCCTCCTCCTCTTCATGATCCTGCTCATCCTCATCCTCCTCTTTTCCACCACCACCACCACCACCATCTTCAATTACCATTTCGCACCTCCCTCATTGCCAGTTTTCCACGAGGATCTGATTAGATACGGCCGTTTGCGGCCATGCCAAATCAACTGTCGACTCGGCGATGCAAGACCCGCCATCGGCACCTTCTGAGCAGACGGGGGCGATTTTTGCAGCGCAGCGATTTGCTAGCCACCCAACAGCGCGGCGGCAAAAATGCCAGCCGAACGACAGGGTCGCAGAAAACCAAGTGGGCGCAGGCAAAGGGCACCTTCATGGCCGTGCGAGGACGTGAAAGGGCCACAGACGTCATATTCCATATGCTTATATATCTCCTTCGACGGCTGCACGAGCGCCGAGAACGGAATGCTCCGATGCCCCACCTGCGAGCGCAGGAGCTCCCTGCGCGGATCCGAGCGACTATGGACATCAGCGCAGCGGTGACGCTCATGAACGACGCCAAGTTCTGGGCATCCTAGCCGGTTCCAACACTTGTTTTCATCGAGATCCACAGCGCCATGGCCGCGACGACCTGCCTGAAGAAGAAGCTGTCGTTTGCAAAGGGCGTGCGGTTCCGCCAACGTCTTAGGACGCTGGCCTGCAAGACCTCAGCGGCGAAAGCGACGCAGTGGGCCCGCGGCGCCGACGGCGTGCAGGCCAGGCTTGGGGACACGCTGCTAAATACGGGCGCGTGGATAGAGCGCTCGCGCGCGGTTCGCGCGCTTCTGCCGCCGCGCTGGCCGCCAACGAGACCTTTGCCGAGTGCATGGCCGCGGAGAGCGCCGCCGCGAAGATCGTCAAGGAGCAGTGCGCAGGCGCTGTCCTGCAGTCGCACTCCACGCGTCAAGCCGCAGCGGACACGGCGCAGCAGACAGAATGGGCGGGACATTGCACTCCCTGCCGTTTGCCCGAGAGCTTCTGCGCTGGGCGCGGCGCCGAAGCCCGCCACTGGCACGACCAGGCCGCAGACTGCGCCCCCCGCAGCGGCATTCCAGAATGCGCCCCCGCACCAGGAGCTGGCAGAGAAGCGTGCGGACCCCAAACAGGCCCGCCGGCTAAATTACCCGTCGTGCGCCACCGTGGCCCCCGACCGCCCTTCGCCGTGCTGGCCGCCGTCGCACTCTTGCTGTCTGGCGAGATTCCGCAAGGTTTCCAAGCGCCCCGCCGAGCCCGTCGCCGCCCCCTGCCCGCGCCGCTTTCAAAGCCCACCCGGTAGCTCTCAACGGTCTGTTTTTCATTGGCCCCACGCGGGTTTCGGACCCGCTCGTCAATGCCCCAAACCGTTGTTATCATGTCCGCGCCCTTCCGGGAATTATTCGGGCGGTGCCTCGAGGGCGCCCCGTTTCGTCGACGGCGACGTCTCCGCGGGCTTTGCCTGCCTCGCGCCGACTCGAGGTTTCCCATGTGTTCTGCGCGTGTTTCGGGCCCGCGCGTAGATTTTCGAAACGATGGCATATCCGCGCCCCTCAGGACATGATTCGGGCGGTGCCCCTGCGGCGCCCCCGCCTTGCCGCCGGCGCCGTCTCCGCTGGCTTTGGCTTGCCCCGCCGGTTGCGCCGACGCGCGGCCCCCCGCGCATTCGGCGCGCGTTTCGGACCCGCGCGTGAATTTTCAGAAACGGCTTCATTTCCACATAGTTGCTTGGCAACAATTCGGACGCCCTGGGGGCGCCCCGTCTCCTCGCCGACGCCGTCTCCACGGTTTCTGGCGCGCCCTGCCCGTTTCGCCAACGCGCGGTTCCCAAAGCGTTCCGCGCGCGTTCCAGAACCGCGCGTGAACTGTTCAAAGCCATCGAAGTTCCGTTCCCTTACACCACG